CAAAGAAGTACCAAAGAGGGGGACCACGGTGAGCACAAGACACCAGGGCACGCCTGGAGGCCCAGGCGCGGCCTGATGGGTTGTGCCCACCTCGGTGACCTCCCGCACCGCCTCTTTGCTCTATAAATACCCCAATATTACAGAAACCCTAGGGGAGTCAACGAAAATCAATTCCAGCCACCGCAAGTTCCAAAACCACCAGGTCCAATCTAAATACCATCACGGAGGGGTTCATCATCCTCATTGGTGCCTCGATAATGCGTGAGTAGTTCATTGTAGACCTACGGGTCCATAGTTAGTAGCTAGATGGCTTCCACTCTCTCTCTCTTGATTCTCAATACAATGGTCTCTTGGAGATCTATTTGATGTAACTCTTTTTGCGGTGTGTTTGTTGGGATCCGATGAACTTTGAGTTTATGATCAGATCTATGTTTTTATCCATGAAAGTTTTTTGATTCTTTTGATCTCTTATATGCATGATTACTTATAGTCTCGTATTTCTTTTTCGAATCTTTGGTTTAGTTAGGCCAACTAGATCAATTTTTCTTGTCATGGGAAGAGGTGCTTTGTGATGGGTTCGATCTTACGGTGCTTGATCCTAGTGACAGGAGGAGAACCGACACGTATGTATTGTTGCTATTAAGGATAACAAGATGGGGTCTTTTTCTACATAAATAGATCTTGTATACATCATGTCATCGTTCTTATTGCATTACTCCGTTTCTCCATGAACTTAATACACTAGATGCATGCTGGATAGCGGTCGATGTGTGGAGTAATAGTAGTACATGCAGGAAGGAGTCGATCTACTAATCTTGGATGTGATGCCTATATAATGATCATTATCTGGATATCGTCATGATTATTTGAAGTTCTATCAATTGCCCAATAGTAATTTGTTTACCCACCGTATGCTATTTTTCTCGAGAGAAGCCACTAGTGAAACCTATGGCCCCGGGGTCTCTTCTTTATCATATTTGCCTTTGAGATCTATTTTTATTTGCTTTTATTTTCAGATCTATTAATCCAAAAACACAAAAAATACATTGCTGCAATATTTATTTATTTATTTCATCTCGCGTTCCCGCGAGATCTGTTTATCCAAACTACTACAATTTTACCCATCTTTTTACTCGTGAGGGATTGACAACCCCTCTCTTACGTCGGGTTGCAAGCATTTGTTAGCAACAGCTGTTTACGTTGTGTTGTGTGGTTCTCCTGCTGGTTTGATAACCTTGGTCTCATCACTGAGGGAAATACCTATCGTTGTTGTGCTGCATCATCCCTTCCTCTTCGGGGAAATACCGACGTAGTTCAAGCCAACATCAGCGGTGTTGATGGAGACGGTTGCGGTGACGATGGTTCCCCCGGTGATGCTCCGGCACCACAGGGAGAGAGTGGGACAGAGGCCCCCTCCTCCTTATTCTTACTTGGCCTCTCTCCTAGATGGGGAGAGAATTCCCCCTCTGGTTCTTGTCCTTCATGGCTCTCGGAGGGCGGGCGCCCCTCCGAGATTGGACCCCCTCTCTTTTTCTCTAGGTTTTCCTCTCTATTTCGGTACCGTTTCTATGACCGAGCACCGTTTCTTAAATAGCTGAACATCTGTAACTCCGATTGGGATGAAATTGTAACACGATTTTCCCCAAAGGAGAGCTCAAACCGAGTTACGGTTTGCCCACATGGATGCATGGCACAGGTAGGGTCATAGGGCCTATCCATGTGGGGCCCAAAAACGTCGCCTTCCGTTGATTCTTCTGCCAAAAATTTAGATATATTCTAGAAAAAATCCACACAAAAATTCAGGTCATTCCGGCTCTGTGAATTTTTCACCTAAAAACCCAAAAGCAATAAAAACAGGAAGTGGCCTTTGACACTGGGTTAATACGTTAGTTCAAATAATAATAATATAAATTATTACCAAAAATATGTAAAAGTGATATGATAATAGCATGAAATGATAAAAAAAATATAGACACATCGGAGACGTATCAATGACCCTCTGCATCCTCCAGGAATTTGGTTTTGTCATCGTCGGGAACGGTGGGTGCGCGTAGTTGACTGCCATGGCTACCAGCATGCCGAAAGCTTCCATTGCGACCTTGCCCACCTCCATCCCGACGTGTTTGACCTTCCTCCCGCACGATAGTTGTTCCCCACCTCGACTCTGCTGGAGGAAGAAGAGAGGGGCCTGAGATCGACAAGGTTGCCTCGGTGCGATGGTGCTTGTTCATCCCACCGATGCTAGCAGTCTTCCCCAAAGTTGCACGATGATGACATTGAGGGTATTTGTGGTGTGGAAAAGTGGGTGTGATTTTTTGTGAATTGAGGGTTTCACTATACACGGGACATTGGCGCTTGCGAAGGGAGCTTTGGCGAGTATGCGGGAGCATAGGCGCCTTGTGGAATGGTGGTGAGCCGAGGAGGACGTAACGCATGTGCGTCGAGTAGGCGAGACTGCAATGGCGCGGGTGAGGACAACGAAGCGACAAGTGTGCACACGGTTACGCTCATCCATTCTCGTGTGACACTGCGAATCTCACACACATCAAACCATGTGTCGTACTTCATAGAGTACATATTTCCCACCACACACTCGTGTGCATTGTCACGGTTTATCGCACAACGGCTATTTTGCAAAATCTTTGTGCAATTAACACCCGTAGTTAAAATAAATATTCCTTTACACCCACCTACTCTGCAATTGTGTGCCCCTTTTTCCTTCTTGCCGCCTCCAAATCCACCTCCCCGCCAGCCTCCACTATTCTTCAAACGAACTGTGGCCTCCGAAAGTCAAATCGTGCCCGCACACGTGGATGAGGCCGTTGTCGCGGCTGAATGCGATGCAGATGCCCTTATGACATGCATGGATGATGTCGCAACCAATGTGCATGCACCAATGAGGTCGCGGTTGCGGCGGCATGAGCGAAAGAGGACGCAGTTGTTGCGGCCACGCGCGGATGATGTTGTTTCAGCAGCGCCACATGTGGAAGAGCCACGGCTGCTGCCGCACATGCCGATGGCGCCGTGGATGCCGCCATCGTCACGCTTGGTACCACCATGCAGCAGGAGGAGTCCAATCAAAGGGCTTACGAAAATATCAAAGATATGGTGTTTGCCGAAAAGAAAGCCGATCCCACCTTCCAAGAGGTTATCTTGAAGTGGTTAGGAGTTATTTCAACGCAAAGGCCATCGAGCTTGAGGAAGCACCGACAATGAAAATCTCTGATTACCAGTATTTCAACAAGTGCTCCTCCGGCGACGAGGATGAGTATCTCAATATCCATAGTTTAATGTCCCCTACTTTAAATGATTATGCAACGAGATATGCAATATGATGTTTAGTTACTTATGTAATGGATGTTTAGTTCGGTTATACGACGAGTTGTGCAATAATGTTTTAAGTATGTTGTTGTTCTGCAAATAAAGCAATGTTGTTGTTCTGCACACAGAGCAAGTCACATCTCATATGATCCACATGACGAAACCGTGTGCGATGGTTCACAATATCTTTAATCGTCGTGCCTAGCAAAACACACAATTCTCACCACACACTCGTATGCGCTGTCACGAGTTATCTCACACGAGTTGCCTTTAGGAAACCGTGTGCGGAACTTCTCACGCGTCAATATATTATGTAACATGTGTCATGCTCTCCATCATCGCACATAATTCATTTATTTCAAACATTGCCACGCAACGCACACGATTCAAACAGTAGAATTGTGTTCATTATCACGACTTGTCGCACAAGCATCTGTTGATCAAGTTGTGTGCCCTTTATCACACGTTGTTCCCTTTTCATAATCATGCCCAATGGATCAGCCATCGCACATGTCTCATTTTCTGGCACACAATTTTTTTTTTGAACATGTGTAATTCCTGCATCCCACGTAGTTCAACATCAGGGAGATGGGGTTGTGATTGGCGTGTCTTAATAGCATCATTCTGCACCAGTGACCGGATGAGGGGAAACATAGTTTTTATAGGGCGTCTCAACGCGACTGCTCACTCAACTTCGACTACATCCTCGATGTCTATCGGCCTGCTTTGGCTACTACGCTCTATGTCGGACACCACCAAGCTGAAGATGTTTGTTGCGCTGGAGTTTTTGGTGCCCTCGTCTGTCATGAGAGCAAGTACATTAACAGGCTTATAACCTGCTTACATGGCAATTTAGCCTGTGAAGAAGAGGGACATGAAAAATTAAATGAATGGACTCTCATGCTGTCATGCAAGAGTCTAGCTATATGCAGATTCCTAGGTCGATACAACAAATATGAAAAAAGAGATATAGAAAAGGTGAGAAAAAGTAGTACTCTTGTAGTCAATCTTATAGCTAACCTTGTTGTATGTGGCTATAAGTGGTGGTTATATCTGACATAGCAATATTATATAGCCAGCAGTTGGCTATACTATTAACCATGCTCTGAACTCTCTCTTCTGACATATGTCATTGGTCCACATACGCGTGTGCTAGATGCTCCTGATCTGTCGTATGTGATTTGCCATGTCCGTAATCTTGTGATGATGCTAATTTGGATGAAGTTTATGCATGCCCCTTAACCACACAGACAAAGCATCGATCGTCAGCCTAATTACAAAGCACGGTGAGAGGGACCTGCCCTTACAGGCCAGAGTGGCACGCAGCAGCAGCCACTACTCCACTCCACTCCATCCCTGGGAATGCTCTTTCCTTCTTTTGTTTTCTTCCATGTATTGCGATGAGAATGGAATCGGAGTCGGAGAGCCATGTATATGCCCATTACCATCAGTAGAATATGTTCCAACCGACAACTGCCATCTTCCCCGGCCTATGCGCCTATATAAACCAGTGGCACCCGGCTCTGTTCTTCCCCACGACACACACAGACAGCACCTGCAGCTGCGTCCCACCGCAAATCCTCCAACTCCACTTCCTTCTCGTGGCGTGTCTTTCCGGCCGGCATCCCCTAGCCCAGCCTACCTCGCTCCAATTACATCAGCCGTGTCTCCATTTGACCATGGCTAACTCGCTGCTCGACTCGCCGCCGCAGTTCCCTGCCGCTGGCCCTTGGGGCTCTCTGTTCGCCGTCCAGGAACCCGGGAAGCCTCGGCGTGTGTCGGTGGCGCTACCGTTCGCTCCCAAGAAGATGCCAGCGTACCGGTACGGCATGAAGCGGAACCTGGAGATGTGCACCGAGGCGCTCGGGTGCGAGACCGGTGGCGTCGACCCAGCCGCTGACGACGCCGACGAGGGCGTGGAGCGGAAGAGGAAATACAGAGAGGAGGAGGAGGAGATCAAGGTGGAGCGAACGGAGCGGAGGGCGCGCGTGCTGCCGCCGCCGCTGACGACGCTCGCTGCTGGCGCGACCCGCATGCGCATGGTCCACGAGCGACGCGGCGGGCGGCTGGAGGTGTACGCGGTACGGGCCTCCGGAATGGAGGCCGAGCGGAGCGGCGGGCGTCTTCGGCTCCGCCTCCTGCCCTGCGCCGGCTGCAATGCCGCCGCAGCGTGCAGCAGCCAACAAGAACCGCAAGAAGCAGAGGAAGATGAGACAGAGGAGGTTGATCAGCAGCGGCAGGAGGAGTGCGTGGTCCCCAAGTACGTGCGCCGCGAGCGGTGCCTGAAGGTAGAGAGTGGCGCCACGGCGGCGAGGTGCAGCATCAAATGGGAGCAGGAGCAGACTGCCGCCTTCTGGGTGGCCACCACCTGAACTACAACGGATTTTTTGACACGTCTCATGGCTGAATCAACTAAGCCTTCTTCTTCCATCTTCAGATCTGCACTTAGAACGGATAGTAGGACTGGGAGATGCTAGTGATGATCTCGAATACTTTCGGTCTTCGATTTCTTTCGGTTACCTCTCATCTTTAGTTTCCTTCCTGCCTACTATCTTCGACCAAGCCCGCCTGATCAAACTGTTCTTATTATGTCGCTGCTGATTGCAGTGGCACACTTTGTACATATAGAAGCAACAATATTTGGTTGGTGAGTATGGTTTGAAAGAGTATAAAAATGTTCAGGTCCCTGATTTCTGTCGTGAATGAGCATGTCTTTTTTCTAACTTCAGTAAACTTATTTTTAGGAGCTCTTCTAAGATGCTCCAAATGATTAAGAGTACATTTTTAACACTCTAACAGCTAATGGTGCCTCTTAAAGCAACTCTAGTAAAGTCCCCGTCATATGTGTGATCGCCGCAATGCACATAAAGCGGGCTCCATTTGCATTTGGAGGCTACGCAGGCAGCACATAAACTCAAAGTCGTCATATCTTCACCTTCATGATTTATTTGTTTTTTCCACGTCAAACACTTTGATTCCCTCCAAAAGTAAATGTTTAGCATGTCAAGCAAATATGCACGTCGTTTTTGACAGGTTGCATGAACAAAAACATTTAAACCGGCACAAATATGCAAGTCACATGTTGGCCCCGAGTGCACCATCCATCTTTCTTCGGCGTGTGCATTGTGCTATCCTTTGCTATCCTTCGAGGTTCGTGGAACGTATGATCACATCTCACGCCTTCTCCCAATATTTCCGCACCACTGAATTCATTTGGCTCGGATCCAACATGATGATCCATCTTTGCTCGATTATGTGTTGTTCCCTCATTCGATCTTTCTTAAGTTGGAGCCTACGCGCCTCCATCTTCTGCTGATTTTGGAGCCTACATACCACCATCTCTTCCTGGCGCCTTATGCTCTCTTGTATAGCATCCCATCTCGCCCTCTTCTCTTGGTTCTCCTTCTGCATCTCTAGCTTTGCTTCATGTCTCTTCTCATATACTCCCTCCGGACCATAATGTAAGACGTTTCCTGACACTACACTAGAGTCAAAAAATGTCTTACATTATGGGATAGAGGAAGTACTTTCTTGTCCTTGTCAACTCATCCATCTTTTTTTATTGCCTCCACCTCTCCTTCTCTCTTGAGCTTCTCCGTTCCAGTCTTCCTCCTGTCGGGCCGACCTGTCCTATACGGCAGAGTGGGATTTCTGGGCACCTTTCCCTTTCCTCTCCAACACCATTATCACCTTCACTGTCATCCATCTCCGAGGAGGAATTGTTGCACTTCCCAGCTTTTGGAATGACATCATCATTCCAACAAATTCTAACATTGTTGGAGGCCAAACAATTTTTCTTCGACTTGGCCATTTATCAGTACCTCTCTTGGGCTAAGTTAACCAAAAAACAAACAAATGCTCAAAACTATGATAATCTTCAGGGAATGTGGCAATGAAATAACAACAAAATTGCTTACATATTGATCAATGGTGACACCGCCAGGAGGAGCGTGCTTCACTTGCTCCAAACAACCCTCCAAATGGTTGCAAATCTCTTGGTCTGTGAGAGATTTGAGGGAACGATTCATTCTCCGCCCAATATGATATTTGAAATGCTCCTCAATGTGCTTCTAATACTTTGTTCTCGCTTAACTTTCCTAGTGCCCGCATTGCGAGAGTTATCTTCCCATGCCAAGACAAGCGGAATATCCTCATTGGGTTTAAAGTTTGTTCCCAAAACTGCCTTCTTCTTCGACAAGCCGAAGGCCTCAAATTGAACCAAGTGAGAACGATGTGCCCTTGAAATCGACATCTTTTGTCCCGGAATCACAAATCACTATTGAGAAATGATCCATCGTCCAAGGTTGATTCCCCAAATTCATAAAATTAGTGCTACATCACAAACATTGCACATTTCCCATCAATTTCCCACGGTCATCCCTCGTTCAATTTAACAAAAACTAAATGCAAGGAAAATGATTGTTGTTTATACCTCATTGTCGTTTATGTTTTGACGTACGACTGGAAGGCGCCATAGTTCCGCCCGCCACCGGGAGGAAGCGAGGATGGGGAGGTATGAGGGCCTTCCTCGTCTTCTTCTTCAGTCCCTTCACAGAGGACAGTAGCAGCCCTGGCGGGGGGCAACCTCCATGTGGCATCATAGCGTTTGCCACCTTTCTGTCAGACTCTTCATCAGCAGGGTGGACGAGGTACTAGCCTAGGTAGTGGTGGCACGCCATAGCCACAGAGGGCGCGGGTCTGACTCCAAAACAATGAAATTGGATGCAGGGGTCGAGGCACTGTCCATGCCATCATCAGCGGGGGCTAGGGACGAGCGGAAGTGTTAAAATGCGACGCTACGACGAGGGTTGGGGGGTGGTTGCGTGGATGAAAAGAATAGCCGAAGGGGAAAGGGTCCCTCATGCCAAACCGTTTTTTGTATGGAGTGCGCTCTAAATATGCACCATAGTCACCAAATATGATATGAAGGCCAGCGGGCTTGGTTTGGCGCTTCCTCTAAAAATTATAGTGATCGAGGACGCGATGGCGACTCTGCTAAAGTTGCTTTCTCGGCCAAAATTGCCATAATGATATGGTAACACCATTTCTCCTCAAATATAGTGTCACATCAGATTTTGCCTAGATATCCATACTAAGATATAGTCCAAGGTGGAGCACTCCGAGTGTACTTGGAAAGTAAGATTTTGTCACAAATTGTTTGGAGCAAATATGACCTTTGCTCTACAAATAACGAAGAAATTTACACTAGCATTATTAAAGCACAAAGGTAAACAAAGAAGTTATAAGATTACTAGTTGACTACTATGTATTTATGTTTCCATTTTTGCTTTGTAGAACCATTCCATGCATGGAGTTAATTTGTTTATTGACACTTGACATGCACACCCTAGATTAATTATTAACTAATTCCTAATTTCAAATAAAATGTCTTTGGTACAAATACATGTATAGCATATTATGAAATACTTGTGTTAATCAGTATTTATTTATTTATTCCATATGAAATTGAAAATTATTTCTATACCATTTCTAATATGTACTTATATGAATTCACATAAGCATGTTTCAAATACATAATAAAATATATACGCAAACATTCCTTAAATTTCAACTATGGACGTTTCTTTGATAAAAATGTCTAGCTGTGTCTCTTGTACATACTGAGACGAAACAAAAGCAATACTTCTTGTACAAACCTCTACATGGTAATAAAAGCTAAAAGGAAAATATTTGGACGGAGTGAACATTGTTTTGAGGGTAATGGTGCTTGTACGAAAAAGTAACGCATTTAATTTGGTTACGATGTATAGTCTGCGACATCCCGATTTTAGGTTCCCTAATCGTTGGCAGTAATAGGAAGAGTACATGTGGTAATGGACTCGATTGTTTACCGAACAATGGGTTATCGATGGTTCAATCCCTCGGCTGGTAAATGTAGTAAAACCATACTAACATCGAAAGTACCATTCTACACCCAGGAGCAAATGCTCCTGGTATGAATAGTAAAATCAAAAAAATAGGAAAAAAATTCAAAAAATTCTGAAATTTTTTTATGACATACTTTCACAAGTGTTTTTTGTGCATGGAAATTTTCATCACGAAATCACATTCATGGAAGTCGTGCCAAAAAAAACAAAATCAGAGCTCCAAAATGCTTTTGTAAGTAACATTTTCAGAGCATCAATTTTGTTTTTTTTACCACACCTTCCACCAATGTGATTTCGCGTTGAAATTTTACGTGCACAACAAACATTCGTATAAGTATGCCACAAAAAAATTCAGAATTTTTTGACATTTTTTTGAAATTTTTTATTTTACTATTCACACTAGGAGCATTTGCTTCTGGGTGTAGAAACTCCACGTCCTACTAACATGTAGTAACGAGTTCCTGCATGCTCACTACTTAGCTGTAAAATAGGTAAAGTGGATGGTAATGAACATTTTTTTACAAGGAATAAATTAGAAATGCTTCAATACTGGCGCCTTGTAAACCTAGTAAAAGTAGACTGATATGTAGTAATGCATTGCCACATGTGCTCTTTTACGATGATATATAGTAACGCATTACCACATGTGCTCTTTGACGATGATACTTCCTCCGTTACCAAATATAAGTTTTTCTAGAGATTTCAACAAGTTATTGTATACGGACCGAAATAAGTGAATCTAAACTCTAAAATATGTTTACATATATTCATATGTTGTAGTTCATTTGAAATATCTAAAAGACTTCTATTTAGGAACGGAGAGAGTATATAGTAATGCATTACTACATCCCTAAGACCAATTAGTACTGCTATAGAAGTGATGGTAACATGATTACTACTTCCTGCAGGTCAAATTACTGATGATAGGAATTAACTGTTGGACTGGGCGATGTTACCATGGTCTGGCTATGTTAATTAGAGTGTGGTGATCGTAACACGTTACTACCGTTTTTCTGCGGAGGTCGGGGCCTGGCGAAGTGTGTGGTCCAGAATTAGTCGTAAATCATGGCGGTGGATTTTGCACGCCGCGCGCCCGCTTCGGTCTAGATAGCACGTACTGGCCATTGGGTCGAACTAGCCGGAGCGTACGCTAAGAAACAATGCGCGTAGGCTTAGTTTAGTGCGCCAGAATATGTTATTCTTCACCCGAGGTAATCTTACGATCATTTCATAAATAAATTATGTTTCAAATAGAAATAGTTACAGTCATATTGATTCACTACGTAAAATTTGGCATAAAAAAATGTCAGAAGACCAGAAAAATTACATTTTATGTACATTTTACACTATATTTTTATGTTTGAAATTTGCGTAATATAAAATATTTTTTACGATGATTATATATTTTTTTACGTTTTCTTTTTATGTCTGAAATAATACAAAATTTACGGAACATAAAATTATGGTGCATTCATGTTAAAATA